TCATTTAAAATTTTCTAACTTTGCTGGTTTATACTGTGCTTGGTTTGGACTGTACTGGCTTGAAAATACTAACTACCGATTTGCATCGAAGCGTTTTTTTGAAAGTGATTTTATCACTTTCAGATTTAAAAATTCCTGTAAACCTGTGACCTCGCCGTCACAACTATGCCCCGACCTAACTATGCTCCGTCCCCACTATGCCCCGACCCCACTGTACTGGTTTTTTTTTTTAGTTACTGTGGCACACTAATACCGATAACCGTTTTCCATCAAGACAGTAAGAAGAATACTATGGATTCACAATTTCAAATCAAATATTAGTCCACTAAACATTTGGTTATTCAGCTAAAAATTGTATTCAATAAAATAATTAAAAAATACTTAACATTTTAAAAGTGACATAAAGTTTTTAAACTTTAAGTATTTAAACACACATATACTTAGCATATCTATATGTATTATAATAATTATTAATTACTTATTGGTCCTACTTAAAATATGGGATAATAAAGAATAAGATAAATTTCTAGATGGAAGAACTATATAAATAGTTAGCCCAACTAAAAGATTACAAATGTAAATTAGTTTTTTTAACTACTAATTTATTGTGATTCTTTAATAACCGGTTTTTCAGTTAGACCTACTTTGTATTTTAGGAGGAGTTACTTATTTACTTAAATTTTTAGGTCTTACAAGGTACATTTTGTGCCTAATTTATTTTGTTATTTGAACGGGTTTCTTTTTAGGATACTTATTCATTAATGATATTCTGACTTGAGGCTCTGTATAATAATATATGTTTAACATTTTCACTTATTGGGTTCTAATAATATCGGAAACATTTCAAATGTTTTGTACAACGCTAACCAAAGTGGTTTTTTACTAGATATATATTTTACACGTCTTTGGTGTTTTTTAAAAATATGAACGGTCTGTTATTATACAAAAAACATTGCCATTTGCGTCATACTTTAATTAAACTATTTCTATTAAGCTTGAATAACATTTTTTAAATATTGCCTTACTTAAAAAACGGGACCATATAAGGACACGTTAAATTTCTAGCGGGAAGAACTAAATAAATAATCGGCCTAATTAAATGATTATAGGAACAAATGTGAATTAATTATTTCAACTACAAATTTATTGTGGCCCGTTAATAACCAGACATTTGGTTGGACATACTTTATATTTTAGGAGGAGTTAATTATTTACTTAAATTATTAGCTCTCACAAGGTTTATTTTGTGCCTTATATATTTTTTTTATTTGAACGGGTTTCTTTTTAAGAAACTTATTCATCAATGATTCTCTGACTTGAGGCTCTGTATTATAATATATTTTACATTTTCACTTATTGGGTTCTAATAATATTGGAATCATTTCATTAAAAAAAATAAAATGTCAACGTTGTTGAACAATTAACCGTCACAGAAACATTAAGTCTTTGCTAGTAGCATATTGAATGGGAAACTAGAAAACAACTTAAAATTCTACGAATCTTCTATCGGAACTACAGACTTTAATTAAACAAAAAATTATCCATAATAACTAACAAGATTAAAAAACTTAACTGAAGATTTTTTAAAATGCAGTTTACAAATATCTTAAGTCTTTAGGCAGCAACTCTACCGTTTTATTGTATTATTTTATAAATAAAGTTAATTTTATAAAAAATAAATACTAAACAAACTAAATCAAAAATTCTATATTTTGAATAAAATAATTCAGCACATGTCTACATATTTTGAATATAATGAACATAACTAAAAAATAATAGCGACGGGTTCACATGGTGTCCGCACAAATGTATTCACTATGCGATTGTAAACGACTGTTTTAGTGTTACTATTTACTTCATAAAGTAAAATAACTTGTATAATAACATATTAATCTATACTGTGTTGTTATTGTAGAACGTAGAGTATAGATAGTAGAAAAAAAATAATAACTAGATTAGGGACCTAATCTAATATCTGTTAACGGCTAACACTATGTATTTTCATTTTTCACCATAGCAGTGGTTTGTTTGGTACTTGTACCTCGGTTATTATTCGTTAGCTGACTATGTTATTTTTTCAACATACCTTCCTCTGTGTCGCAACAGGTAGGTAATCTGTAGATAAGAATCGTTTGTCTATCATTATTTCAAAATCTTTTAGGTATAGTGAATTTCTAGTTGTTAGAATGTTATTGGCAATTGGACAATGCGAACATAAATATGAAATTTATGTGCTACCGGTTTTGGAAAACCGAAGAAAAATTATCGTTATTAAGAGGGAATGTAGTATCTTTACAAAATCATAGCTAAGGAACAGACAAATTAAAATTCAAACGCTATCATATTTTTAAATTTTTTGTCTACAAATTTATGCAATTCAAAACATATGTCGCCATTTAAAATAAACAAAAATCCCCCTTTTTGGCTTATAAGGATTGGTAATAAACATTTAAAAAATATTGAAAAGTATTCTACAATTTGTATCTACAAATATTGGAACAAGTTTAAATACAAATATACTTTCTAAAACTTTTATTATTTATAGTTTGCAATGTTAGTTTTTTAATTCCGATCGTCAATTAGTTATAGTTTAATTGTGGTTACTACAGTTATAGATATGTATACATTTTAACTTGTTGTTTTAGTTGATAAATAGTTTTTTTTTTAAAAATTTTTTTCATAATGGACATACAGTGAAAATAAATAGTATAGTACAGTTCATAAAATACTAACTAGACATGGGTAATTAAAACATAATTTAAATAAACAAAATCAAAATAATAACAATTTTAAAAACAATTTTTTACAGAAATTTGGTTTGAGATTTCCTAGTTGAACAATAAGTAGTTACTCAAACTAATTCTGTATAATAATAATTGCCAACTAATATTTAAAACACCGTTTTAAAGTTACCTTGTCGAATAGCTTGTACAGTTGAACGTTATTTTTTAGTTAACATAAATCAATTTCTTATAGCTTACTAAGTTTTTTGACAATTTTTAGTACTTTCTTAATTGTTTTAAGGGGCGGTATTTAATTTAGTTAAGTAGAGAAATTCGGGAAAAAAAAGTAAAAAAAATCTAAACATAAATCTTTTTATTTTAAGTTTATAACATGTAGCATATGTTCATTTCTAAAATATAATTTAAAACCCTTAACCATAAAACATACAAATTTTTTTCATTTTGGTGAAGGGTTTTAAATATTATTTTGTTTTACAGTGATTCATTAGGTATAAGACATTCATTTTATTGGAATAAATTAATATTTTAAACAATATATTTTTCCAATATTTTTAGATACAAATTGTAAATTACTTTTCAATATTTTTAAATTTTTTATTACCAATCCTTATAAGCCAAAAAGGGGGATTTTTGTTTATTTTAAATGGCAACATATCTTTTGAATTGCATAAATTTGTAGACAAAAAATTTAAAAATATGTTAGCGTTTGAATTTTTATTTTTATTTGTCTGTTCATTAGTTATGATTTGGTAAAGATACTACATTCCCTCTTAATAATGATCATTTTTCTTCGGTTTTCCAAAACCGGTAGCACATAAATTTCATATTTATGTTCGCATTGTCCAATTGACAATAACACTCTAACAACTAGAAATTCACTATAAAAGATTTTAAAATAATGATAGACAAACGGTTCTTATTTACAGATTGCCCACCTGTTCCGACCCAGAGACAGGTAGGTTAAAAAAGTAACATAATCATTTAACAAATAATAACCGAGGTACAAGTACTAAACAAACTACTGCTATGGTGAGAGTGCATAATGTTTGCAGTTTATAGGTATTAGATTAGGTCTCTAATCTAGTTATCATTTTTTCCTACTGTCTATACTTTAAATATTTGTAAACTGCATTTTAAAGAATCTTCAGTTAAATTTGTTAATCTTGTTAGTTATTATGAATACCAGAATGTTTAGTGACTTTTAACTTAATTAAAGTCGGTAGTTCCGATAGAACATTCGTAGAATTTTAAGTAGTTTTCTGGTTTCCCATTCAATATGCTGCTAGCAAAAAAGACTTGATGTTTCTATGCCGGTAAATTGTTCAACAACGTTGGCATTTTATATTTTTTAATAGTTACCTATTTCTTTTAATTAAGATTCCGTTCATAAAAATATGGATCAATAGTTCTATAGACTAAGTTACTCTACATCACTCATGGATACCCGAACTTACTTGCGTTTTGTACTTGGAAATAAAATTCTAAATAGGTAAAAGTCTTGTGGTAGGGATCACAGAGGATGTAAACCCAAATCTGATTATCAAAGTATAATTTCTATTTAAAAAGTGTTTTGAACATTTTTATATTCAAAATATTAATTGCTAACAGAAAATGCCAAAAAATATAGGGGTTGCCTTTTAAATTTTAAAAGTTGATACTACGCATGCGCAAACTACTTTAGGTAAGATTTTGGATTTCATCCTTAAATGTGCATAAAATAACACCTACCAACATCCAAAAGTCAAAATTTGAAAAGAATCAATAACCACTCTAAAAATTTACCGTTTTTTGAACTTTTTGAATACCCTTTATACATAGTACACACTATACAGATTATGACTATGTGTTACAAGTCTTAACACAAAACAAACGAATTAAAATGTGAACAAAACGTAGGTTTTGGTTAGATAGACCAAAATCTCGTTATGCAAATTATGAGTGTTTTTTTAATTTTGTGTATAATTTTCAAATGAGTTGCTTCTTTTTATCATGATTTGGAAATGTGTAGATTATGTTCCATACATTTTGAGGCAGAGTAGGAAGAATCAAACTTTTAGCTAGCTGATAATTTAAAAAAGCGGTATCGTAATGAGTTATATTAACCATGATGTAGATGTTCTACTTAATAATGCTAGGTATTCCTATATAATTTCGTACGAATTTGTCCCTTTTTAAATTACTACACAAATTTTAGTCATTTTTCTTTTTTGTGTTTATTTGAAAAGAAACAGAGATTTTGGAATTATTTAAGTCGTTATGATATACTGTATTTTGAAAAAAAAACTTAATAATAATTTAAGAGATTTAAAAAAAAACTATTACATTATTAGACATATTAATTTATTTTTCAGACATGACATCTCCGTCTGGCTCATCTCCAGATTTAATAGGATCTATACGTTTTGAGTTTACACAGTTTTTCTATTTCCTTTCCCTTTTTCCTTTTCTTTTGTTTCCATTGCCGCTTTTCTTTCTTCAGCAATTACTGCAACAGGTTTTTCCAATAGCTCACAATGCTTATTAAATAGATAACGAAATTTTGGTAAATCTATACAATCTAAAACAAAACAAAAGTGTTGATTTTAATTATAAATAATATATGTTATCATAGGGGCATAATATAATGTAGTTGTCAATGACATATTTTATCTAGCTTCAATGTGCAGCTGAAAATATATTGTTTTCATAATAGTGTGTTTTATTTGTCTAAATTTGTGTCCGAACAAAGGGGCTGTCATTTTGTTTTAAATTTAACTTTTTTGATATTTTTATGTCTTTGCTATGGCACACACACGGAAAAAACGACACGAATTGACGACACCAATTATCGACGCCGGTTATCATAACGAAAAATAACAGCTGATTTATCTGATAAGATAAGAGATATGGGTAATGGAGATGGGGGTGGGAATTGGGATGGGGATGTGGTCAAGGATGAGGTCGAGGTCGAGGCTTAGGATGAGGATGAGGATGGGTTGTGGTTGGGATGGGGATGCGGTGGGAGATGTTAATTTTTTTAAATTATGTGTTGTTTTTACAACGACCAAACTTGAATGGTTAACGAATTGATTCAAAATAACTAGCCAAGTGAACATTTTGCCAATAAATCAATTATGGCCAATTAATAAAAAACCTGTATTCGAGTACCGCGGTTACCATTGTCACAAACCAATTGTTTTTTTTTTTTGGTTAGCAACGGAAAATGTTTCAAATGATATCAAGGCTTTGAAATCGAGGCGGAAAAAAGGACCGAACGGTGCTCCGCGAAACGAGACATAAAAATGTATTCCGTGGTGTTGCGGACTCGTATGCAAGCTGTTAAAATATAATAATATGTAATACCTTTCTTAGAAAATAACTTTAAGCCAAGCCTTTATCTATAGATCATTTTCTTTTGAACATACTTTGGGTCTCGCCACATTTAATAGTGTGTTACATATTATATGGTATTTTTGAATAAAAATAATTTCTTAAAACCAATTACTGCTTTACAGTTTCACATCGAAGATAAAAAAATATTATTAATTGATATATAACTGTGCATAAATATTTTTTACAAAATTGTTCTGATTCAGCTTCTTCCAAATAGTCCTCTAAGTATAATGCTATAAAATCGTATTCATCATGGTTGTCACTCATGTACGTGTAATAATTATCAGCTCCTATACATCCATTTGATGTATTTTTTTGTGCGACTTTTACCGATTTTCTAGCATTCGTGAACGCCTCATCTATAAGCTGAAAATTGTTATTCAACACAAAGTTTAGTTCCATAAAAAATCTGATAATAATATTTAAATACGATTAGACTTAAATAAGCACGTAATAGATAAGAATCAAAAAATTAAATATATATACAGGGTGATTCTTTTATCATGAACCACCCGATATCTAATAGGGTTTAATAAGATATTAATTTTTTTTTTCCATACTGTTTTTATACTTTGTGATCTCAATTTTTAACATTTTTTTTTATTTTCACCACCTCCTAACTAAGTCTTACTTGATAGCAACTTTTAAAACTTAATTGGTAACGTAAGTATGTTATTAATTTTTAAATTGAAAATAATGTACTAAAAAAATTGACAGGTCGATGACCAGTTTCGGATAATTATTTTTTTAAGTTATATGAATTTTAAAGTTAGGATGGGAGGGGAAGTGCAGTTGGGAAATGCGCGCAGATAAAAATAATACTACACTCCACTTCCCCTCCCATCCTAACTTTTAAACTCTTATAATATCAAAAATAGTTTTCCGAAACTAGTTATCGAACAGTCAAAATTTGAATTACATTATTCTTAATTTAAAACGTTAATAAAATATATACGTCATCATTTAAATTCCAAAAGTTGCATAAAAAAAACTAAGTTGGGAGGGGGGCAAATAAAAAAAAATGTTTGAAGAATTGAGATCAGTATGTATAAAAAACATATGAAAAAAGTAATTTTAAATTCTTATTAAACCCTATGAGATATTGGGTGATTTATAAAAAAAATATATAAATTATAATTTAATAAATATTAAAAATTATAAAAATATTAAATGTTATTAATTTAATAGAAGCAAAAGTGTAAGTTTTACTTATGTGCTTTTTTGGGAGGGGTAAAAGCGAATTTATATTTTTAATTTTTGTATTTTTTTTACTAATAAGATTAAAAAAAAAAGAAACCAAAAAAATAGTTGTTTTTTTTTTTAAAAAATTAGAAAAAAATTAAATTATAAATGCTGGTGTACCAAGTATCAGTATCAAGTAGTAGCATTATAAAAATAATTTTATTAAATGCTGTTGTAATCATGTTATAAAAGTAAATAGAAAATCAAAACAATGTGTGTAACATTTTATAGCAAACATATTATACTTTATAATATAATATAATATAAAAAAAATTAGAAAATTATTAAAGACTTATTTGTTATAAATTAATATTTAAAATAATAAATAAATCAAATACACTTTAGCTGTTTAAAAAATTATACTATTATTAGCTTTAATGTTTTAATAACCAAATAAAAAATATACATAAAAATTAATCTGGAATGAGTTCATTTTTTTTATACAACACAAACGTATACTTTAAGTTAACAAAAATTTACATTTATTATAAATGTTGGAATTACGGATACTAATAATTAAATTATTAAATTAAAGAGTGATAGAACTTAATACTTAGTAATTTACAAGTAGTAAAATGTATACATTTTTATGGTTTAACATTTATTATATTTAATGAATTTTACTCAAATGATTAAGTTACGACTCTAGTTTTAATCTAATATATTAAAAGCATTTTTTAAAAGACAATGATAGAAAATAATTTTGATTTCAAGTATTTATGACGAATTTTATTTGGTAGTCTTTAAGCTAAAATAATAGTAGTTTCCTAGAGAGTGTCTATTTAGGCAAATTTTATCATTATATTATAAACGATTCAGAATAATATTGAAAAAACCTAATAGTTTTAAAAAAATATTATAAATTACCCTTAAATCCTCCGGTGTCAATACAGTTTTCTCTTTAGATACAGCTGAACCTGATGCTTCAGGTTGGCCTGTATGCATACAGCTAACCGCTATGGTACAAATTAGAAACGAAAGAGAGAACTTGAAAAACATTGTGTTTGTCTATAAAGTATTATTTGAAGTTAAATTGCAACACCAATCGAATGAATTTTACTGTCTTTGAATGCCTGTTTTATATAGAATAGAAAAAAAATGAAGAATATTATACGAGTACACAAGTATATAAAATATGATATCTTTAAATTTTTTTGTTGTAGCATTATTCGCACAGAATTTAATTTTTGCACAATTATGCAAATGAGTACAGAAGTATATTTGCTGTATAAAATCCATAATAGTATACCGATATCTTTAGTGAGGTGTGTAAACGTAATTTTTTTAATTTTACGGAAAATAGGTCAGAAAACCCAAATGCCCCAAATATCAAGATTATAAATCTCTGGGTTTTAGTATGTATTTAAAATGAGTAGAATATCAGTTATCTGTTGTCATGCATTAGTAACTAGTGCTATACTGTTTCAGTGTTAAAACTGGATAAACACCGCTTAAAAAATCTTCCTGGGTAATTATTCTATATTCCTGTTTGCCGTAGCAGCATAGTTTTCGGTCGATTTATTTTTCTGTAATGACAGTGCTGAAAGCCCGGGGTTACGTTTTGATCTAAGGACTGGGAGTCCGATAGCCTTGTTCCATTTAGACTAGAAGAGGACAATTGGTTCTTAACCGCGATACGGGATGGGTTTCCTACAGTTGCCCTAAGAAAATGTCCGTTTCGATTGTCGGTTATCCTCCTTAAAATATCCGATGTTTTGTCTGCTGACCGTGTACCGTGTCACATCAATTTCATACTTCAGTATATATTTTATGATGTTAGTTAGGATTTTTTCAGGGTTTTTTAAAAATTATTTTAAAATTTCGAAACGTATTATCTATTTTACAGAGGCCCGGCGCCTCTACCAAATTTTAACGTGTTTGTTTGGCTAGTTGGCTATGCTAGGCCGAAACGAGAGTAGATAGGGTTAAATTAGTAGACCCGAAGACGGGATGGATGGCTTAGCCATATATCTACACTCAAATATTCCTAAAGTCTCGTTTATATATTTGCTGTATCGCCTGAGAAGCCTATCAGACGATTTTACCTTTAAATAACTTAACTCTCAAGTGTGCAACGAAAAGGAAACAGATTTATTAAAATAAGTAAATCTATGCATGTCAAACTAATTTTTTAGGGATTTTTACTCATTATCAAGTGATGGTATATCTTTTCCTTTTTTTTTTATTACTATTTTTAAAAATGTTCAACTTATACAATTATTTTGCTCGAACTTGTATTTTTTTGTGTTTCTGCGACGGTTTACCGTCGAAAATAAAAGCATGTTTTTAGCAATTCTTGTTGACGATGGTGTTTTGGCAGCAAGAGATGAATAAACAATTACAGTACTCTTGTAACATTTAAAAGCTGAATTCGAGGTAAAAGTGAGTAATTTTGAACACTTTCTTGGCATACAAATAAACATTTTAACATGCGTGAGGCAAAGGAGTTGTCTATACCTATAGACAAAACGAATAAAATTGACCTAGATAATGAATTGAAACAAACGGGTGATCAAATTCCATTTCGACAAGCGGTCGGTTGTTTATTGTTTTTAGCAACAGTAACGAGACCAGATATAGCATATGCTGTTAGCTATGTTAGTCGTTTTTTATCAGAGCCAAAACCAGTACATTGGAACATGGTGAAACGTATTTTGCGCTATTTAAAACGAACAAATAATTATGGGTTATGTTTGGATAGTACTAAACAGCTGTTGTGTATGGAAATTTTTAGTGATGCGGATTTTGCAAATTGTGTACAAACTAGGAGGTCAACATCAGGTTATGTATTTAGACTTGAATCAACTGTCATTTCTTGGACATCGCAACGACAACAAACGGTAGCCTAATCAACCACAGAATCGGAATACTTAGGTATTTGTGAAGCGATTAAGTCAATGATATGGTTAACTTATTTGATATAAAGTTTAATTTCATTAAAAAATATTCAAACAATTTTATTCATTGATAATCAAAGAGATTTACGTTTAGTGAAAAATCTGGAGTTTCATCGACGAACAAAACACATTCAGACGCGGTATCATTTCATTCGAGAGAAGTACGAGGAAGGTCTATTTCAACTACAAAATATTGACACGCAGATTCAGGTTACAGACATCCTAACTAAACCATTGGCAAAACAGAGGTTTGAGATGTTACGGTTAACAATGGGAGTCAGTCAGTTGAAGGAGAAGGTGGACCTATAGAAATTATTCATTGAGGTAGGGTGTTGAAATATTCAATAAATAATTTATATTATGTTCTTCTTAGAAAGTGCTCATTTATATTGTTTAGATAAACTTGTTTTCTTAATAAGTAAAATATAATGGCGTAATTTATATAATCAGCCAATCAGTTGTTATTAAAAAAATTCGCGTGTAAATTGACGTCAATTGTAGTATTGCATTGTATACAATTTTTGTTCTACAATATTCTTTTGGTTTTATATAAAAGGGAGGTCCGGGGATATCTTATTTACTCATTTTTTTTATAATGTTTGTGTAAGCCAACTGTGTATAACAAATCTTTATTTATTACTATACAACTTGTGTTAATTTTTATATTATCCAAATTAACTCCAACACTCAAATTCCAACAATTGTTAGCAACTTTATAATGATTTCTACCTTTTTAACGATAATTTATTTTCTACAAAGGTATTAAAATCGCATACTGAATAGATATATACATAAAACTGGAATGCTATTATTTAAGACCTTAATCTAGTCATGGTAGCCTTAAATACCGGTATAGTGATTTGAACAGGATTTAATAAAGCAACATCATTTTTAAAATTTGCATATTTTCAATAAAAAAGGAACATTTGAAAATCATTTTCTTCGCTTTTTTTTTGCATGAAATAACTTGAGACGGAAATCCATCTATGTCCAATACACTTGTTATGGCATTTTTTTTTTTTTTTATAGTTTTGTTCAGTTGAATCATTATTATTTAGAAGTCAACACTAACTATAAAAAAAAATGTTCTTTAACTACTATTAGTGTGTTCTCCACTCTAGCCCTTGGTTTGATACCAAATGAATCATGAAATTTCTATTCAATAGTTGGTACAGAAATAGAGGATTTTATTAATTATATATTAAGATATATGCATTAAAAATAATGTATTTTAATATTATGTAATATGCCAATTGATTCGGTAGCAATAATTAAACTTTCATAATATAAAATATTGGCTATACTGTAACGGACTAAGCTCTCCAAGCACATGTGTAATTGACCTTCTGAAGAACTTGAGCTCATGAGATCTATTATTTCTAGATAATCTTACCAAGAAGACCTTTTTTTATGAATTTAGAGAAATTAATTGTTTAATCAACCGACTCAATATTATATGCCAGTGGATACAAACTTATAAGGCAAGTAATCCTACCTTTTATAATAATAACATAATTATTATTCTATAGAATGTCTGTAACAGTGTCCGCCGCCTACAATCGATTATTAAGTAATGGCTATCAGTCTCTTACAACTTACATATTTAGTGTTCATTCAATTAAAAATAATGTTTTGCAATATTAGTTATAGGTATTAGGTGTATAGTTACTTAGATAGTGATTAATAAACTGATAAGAAAAATATGTGAAATATGTTGAAATTTCATTTTTGGCGATTACAGATAAATATTAAAAATAAAAAAACTGTACATGTGTATTATGCTAAATTAAGTTCCCTGCAAAGTTATATTTTTTTATCTTGGTTGAATACGCAAATCTACTTTATTGAGATATTATGAAAACGATTTTAAAAACTGCCCTTTTTCAATACACATCCTTTAGAACAATTCAATCCAAATATCGACAAAAACCAAAATCTATTAAAGAATTCTCTCCAAAATGTGGATTTTGTAAAACGATTAAGAATTGATAAAAAAATAACTAGCAGCAAAAAGTCCTTATTGCTGATTTTAACACCATTACTTTTGACTCATTAGGTTAATGTCTTTTTTTTAATTTTACCGAAATTACAATTATTAGAATTTAATAGAAATACTTACTTAAATTGTGGAGTTGGTAAAAGGTTCTAGGACAACAATCGACTTTGTCAGCTTTTAAAACTAAATGTTCTACTTGCGAATTATCGATGGGCTTATACTTCAACCAGAAAATCAGAATCCTAATAAATTTTTGCAGTGTAACTGTGTTCGTTTATTTACACAAATGCTTAATTTGCTTAGACTCGATGCGGAGCTGAGAAGTTATTGTAGTTACTTAATATTATGTGTTTTTTGTTTTGCCTGTACTCGCGGTATCATAACAAAAATCGAGAAACACACCAAAAACAATAACATATTTTTTAACAGAAATCTACAACACTTTATACCTTATTTAAAAAAGTCTTTATAATTCTAAAATTTTGTGGAATAATCTTTAAACATAATGCTGCCCATAAATATTGATAAACTAAAAAAAAGATCATAAACTCGTCCCTCTCAAAGGCAAATAAGGGATAGCACTATTAGGGATTTAGGTTTGAAAATTAGAATTAGATCGGACTAAACTGGTTTAAATGTACTATCTACAGATTCGCATAGAAGCGTTTAATTAAAAGTGATTTTATCAGATATCGTAACACAGTTTAACATTAGTTTGAAAACTATGTGATCAATTTCATAAAATATATTATCTACTCCCAACATACTGCATTTTCTACTAATGGTTTTTTAATTTATCGTTTTTAGATATAATAATTCCTATATACCTGTGCCTCCGTCCCCACTATGCCCCAATCCCACTGTACTGGGGTTATTATTGTTATTTTTTCAACAATATCATAAAATTACATCACATAGAATTTCAATTCATTTAGGTTGAAATTAGAGTTTAAATATTTATATACAAAACAATGTAAAGAGGTGAATGTTTTTGAGGTCATAACGCTGCTTTTTCTCTAAAATATCGTCAAACATAAAAGTTACAGCTTTTCAACACAGCCATAAACTAACTTTTTTAAGGATTGTGTATTCATTTATGGTTTACTTTCCAAATAATAATGTATTATTATGCTATAATTGTTAATTGTCGTGGCCATTTCAACACCCAAATTAATTGTATGAATTTAAAAAATAATATTAAACAACAATTGATAAAAATATCTAATTTTCACTAGTACTATATAAAAAGTATAGCACCCCCATGCTCTCAGATGGCGCCTTCAAATATTAATGTAAACCTAGGACCTAGATAAAAATTATGTTTAGAGAAGTAATGGGAAAGCGTTTGTAGAATGGTAATTTTCCAAATACAGTGTTATAAATTCAAGCGGCAAGGTCATGAGGACATATCATTTGGTTTTAAACTGGTTTACCTGAACATCTAGTTGCACCGCTGCAAACAATAAAGATGTGATCATGATTTCTCAAAACTGTAATATGTTAAACCATACTAAGGAGCACCTCGTCATTTATTAGACAGTCGTAGGGTCATGTATATCGAGATAGGGTTTTTAAACAGTGTAAACTCGGATGAAATAATCGATAAGGTGGCTAATAAAAGTAAAATGGTATCAATATTGTTATTTTTTTTTTTATAAACTAGTTGATTTGTATTATTAAAATTGTTAACGTTTCTCATACTAAACTTTCAATTTTTAAGTTAAGGGCTGTAATATAACGGAGCGAAGCGAGCAAATTTCAGGCATCCCCTTTAAAATATTTTCCTAAAAAACTACCTATCAGCTCCTTAAATTGGAGAGAGGGGAAGCTCTAGGAAACTTCAGGCCATTTAAAAACTCTTAGAACTCCCTGAGAATTTTGTCAAATTTAAAAATGTTACCCAGTGCTATGCCTTTATGAAGTTTATCAAGAGTATAAGAAAATTGAATTTAACATATTTTTTTTTTTGCTAAAAATTATATTTAGGTCGAATAGTATTCACTGTTAAATTTTGGTTCTGTGTTAAGTTAGCTGTTGTTTTTGTGTTCAAGACTCAGCTATACCGTGCTGTGTACACAATCGCCCAATGTTTTCACTAGCTATGCTTAACAAAAAAATCCAATAACAAAATACGATGTAAGGATCGGTTGCGATCAACTGTATACATACAATTTTTTTTATTTTTTTTTTGTACTCGCGATATCACCCAAGCCACTAAACTGATTTTTTCGTGTAGCAATTTTATAAAGCAGAAATCGTTTAAACAGAAAATAATATTAATAAAACACCCACAAAAATTACAATGCTTTCTAGCTTTTTAATAAAGTAGATTAAAAAATGAATCTAAAAATAACGTTTTTATGCGCCTTAAAAAGTATAAAATAACCCTCGGGGGTCTTGATAACCAAATAGGACAGGTGAACTAGAAAAACATAGGACGCATCTTTCTACTTAGATATTAAAACCTAAGCTTTCATGTTAATGCTAATAAATGCATTAGGTTGTCTCTCATAATGCTGTCTCTCTAACCGAACGGATCAGAAAGTGATAGTATGACTTTTTATCGGAAATTAAATTTAATGGATTTCCGTGCCACTTGCCATAAATTTCATTGCAAATTGAAAAGACTTAATTGCTATTCTCTCCAAAGTTTGTTTTATGTAGGTTGCTTCAATTTTTTTGTTAACTACTTACTTGCTTAACATTTAAAGTAATGTGGTGCTCAAATTTACATGACATGTCATTAAGTATTATTTTATTTAGAAGAGAAAAGAGGATGTGCATGAATTATGAGTTAAGGTAGTTATTAATGAGAAGAGAATGTTATTATATATTCAGACGTGTGAAGTAGTAAAGATGCGCCCCACGTTTTTCTAATTCACCTGTCCTATTTGGTTATCAAGACCCCCGAGGGTTTTTTTGTACTTTTTAAGGCGCATAAAAACGTTATTTTTCGATTAATTTTTTAATCTACTTTAGTTATTTTGTTCTTTTTCGTTTTCGTATGAGCGTACCTATATATTTAAATGTACAATGCTATATAATGAATATACATATTATTATACATATATTTTACATATAAATAATATTATTACAATATTATATAATAAAATCAGTCCATTTCGTTTGTAAGCGGTGATTACATTAGAAAAGGCTGCATGGTCAAAAGGATTATCATAAGAAATAGTAATAAATTTAAAAGCTTATAATTTTAGATTTATTACTGTATAAATTGTCATAATAGTTGAATACAAGTTATAAGAAAATGCAAAAAAGTGTAATGATGGGAACTGGTTTAAACCCGGTACCACTCATATCTGAGCACCGTTCACGTCCAAACGCACCACGCGTAATTTTTGCTGGCGGGTGAGAAATAAGTCTTTTTGAATTGCAAGATTCCACCCGGAACGACGGACAAGGAATCGACCCCATTTTAACCCCCTTTAGGGATGGAATTTTAAACCTCTTGTGGACTAATAATGCATTGTCATCGATTTGTGAGCTACCCTGGAAGTTTCAGCCGGATAGCTAATCAGGAAGTACTCCAAATTTGAGTTGCAAGATTCCACCCGGAACGACAAACAAGATTGTGAGTTCATAAAAACGTTATAAAAACAGTCTTTTTAGTTCCAAAATTCTGTGGAATATTCTTTAACAATAATGCTGCCAATAAACATTGATAAACCAAAAAAAATATCATAAACTCGTTAATCTAGAAGGCAAAGAAGGGATAGCAGTTTTAGGGATTTAAGTCTGAAAAATAGAATCAGGTTTGCTTAAACTGGTTTGAACCTACTATCGACAGATTTGCATAGAAGCGTTTAATGAACAGTGATTTTCACACTTAGTATGAATGTAGAACATTTATGTATTTTCAAGGGAGGACGGCTAAAGAAATATCTCTCCCCCAAAATTTTCTTTAGCTGCCTTCCCTTGAAAATATATAAATGGTCTACATTCATGCTAGGTGTGTATGTGAAAATAAATAGTTATCTGAAACTGGTTATCGACCAGTCAACAATTTTAGTATATTATTCTCAATTTAAAAAGTTAATCAAATATGTACGTGACCTTTTAAGTTTCAAAAATTGCCAGCAAAAAAAGTAAGTTGGGATGAGGTAAAACCAAAAAATAATTGTGAAAAATTGAGGACACATTGTATAAAAAAAATATGAAAAAAATAATTTTAATGAGATATAGAGTAGTACACGATAAGTGGATCACCCTGTATATTATATATAGCTGAAGATAATAGTTAATATGCAAGACATTTATCATGGTCTATATTTTATTTTTTTTCTAGTTTTCGATTATTTCGATATTTTATTTAAACACAATTAGTAGCCAGAGCAGTATGTTGAGAGTAGATAATACATTTTATGCAATTGTACACATTGTTTTCAACATTATGTTATATTGTGGTACGATGTCTGACTGATCAGCTAAATCTATATGTATAATAAAGCCAGTACAGTGGAATTGTGGGGACGGGGAGGTTACAGTGATAAAATTACTTTCAAATAAACAATTCGATTTGAATCTGTGGTCAGTAGGTTCAAACCAAGCATAGTATAAACCAGCACACTAAGAAAGTTGTATAAGTAAATAGTAGTAGTAAGTTAATTTCGGGCAGGGGAAAGGCACAAGACATATTCATGTTCCAATATGTTTCCTTCAAGGGAAAGTTGGTACTGGTTTTTTTACTTTTCTTTTAGAATTTACACCGAGTTCTGAATTTAATATGCCAAATTTGCGGTTGGTAGTAGTGTTGTTGCAGACAATAACAATTATCAATTTAAGTGGAGATAGTCTATATTAGTATTAACCATACTGAAAACAAATGGATAAAAAATTTAAATAAGTTTCTTAGATACTTAAATAATTATATGGTAAATCAACAAATATACACATATATTAGTTATAAATATACGAGTAAGTAAATAGTAGTATTAAGTTAGTTGCGGGCAGGGAAAGAGCACAAGAGATATTTATGTTACAATGTGTTTCCTTCAAGGGAAAGATGATACTTGTTTTTTTACTTTTCGTTTTGAATTTACTTCGAGTTCTTAGGTTATCAGAATTAATACATAGACCGGGTTTAATGTAACCGAAGAAAATCCACCTTGACATTATTGGTAGGCTTCTACACCCGTAAATTTTCTATCGATAACAACTCTAAATTAGTAAAATATTACACATATCTGGATTTTTTATAAACCTATGTATTTGTACATGGC